GTCCCACCCCCGCCAGTGCACAAATTTCATGCACCGGGCCTCTAGTTTATCTATATAAACAGGGAATATGTAATTAGCCGAGCATCACGACCGCTCAGAAGAAGCTGTTCGGGTACATGGGCGGGAGGGGACTGTGTGCCGCCCCCACCCCAGTGGCCGCGGGGAGGCTGGGGCTGGGGGCAGGCCAGAGTGGAGACACCACACACAAGAGGCTGGGCCTGGGGGCGGGCCCGAGTGGAGACACAACACACAGGAGCGCCTGCCCCCACCCCGGCAGAACACAACACGGCAGCGGGGGCAGTGCTCAGAGCAGCCACTGCGCAGCTCGGAGCTATGTGGGTCAGGCGCGGGTCCAGGCCCCCCACGGGGTGCCTCCTCATACAGCGGGAGGCGGGGCGCCTCCTCACGCAATTTCAATTGCACGCTGGGCCCCTAGTTTTAATATAAGTATTACTGCGACATTTTTAGTCTACTGTAGAAATTCTTATTTTGGCCATTTTTTACCATTTATAGAATATGTGTACTGGTATATCACTGTTTATTTAAGAAACCTCACAATGTTTCCAGACAAAAATATTTCTATCTAATACTGAAAGCTTGGTAGAAAGAGGGAATATAATTTACTCTAAAAACAAAAGAAAAGTAGAATCCTGAAATCCAGCACTTCTAACACTGATCATTATTTTTATTTGAAAAGAACAAAGTAATCTGAAGCATGTCTGTCTTCACATAATTTTTAGAAAAGCTCTCTGTACTTTTATTTTACTTTCGAATTCATTACCTTTTCAAAGAACTTGGGCCAGTCACTGCTGTGGATGTTTCTTAAATTACCTCTGTCTTCAATCTTGTAGTGTCTGATTTTCTGGTCTTCAAGCCAAACAATAAAGTTTCTAAATTCTGTTTCATCTGCAACAAAAAAACACCATACAAATTACTAGAAGCACTTCCTTCACCTCCAATAAGTGGTTTTGTGGAACTTTCAACTCCAAAAACAAGAAGTTAATTGAGCTGCTCAAAGTAGAGGTTGAAAAGTGCAGATTTTGGGTCAACAGATTAAAAAATGTTCTGCTCATATCTTGGATTAAATTCAAATTCTGGTTCCAGACACTTAGTGGTTATGTAAACTTGGGCTCACCACCTTAATTTTCTCTGCCTCAGGTTCTTGAGTTACAAGATGGAGGCAATAATAGGGCTTACCTTATAGAGTTGTTATGAATATTAAACGAAATAAGATTAAATATGTCTGGTAGATAGTTTTGGCTACTTCAGTGTTATTATTCCAGTTCCTTTGGAGAGAGGGACGGGGCAAGGTTAAATGTACAGCAAAGTAATAATAAAGCAAATGACAAAATAAAAAGAGGATACCGTTGTCACTGTTGCAGCACATTAAGTGCACACACAAGAAACTACACATTGTTTCATTTAATCCTTCCACACGCTTTTGAGGTAATAGCCCCCCTGCCCCCCGGCCCCCCTTTACAGATGAGAAAAACTGAGGCTCAAATCCTGACCTAAACTCTATTGCCACCGACCCTTTTTTGTTAAATAAAAGGCAAGACAGAAAAACAAGACTCTATTAAATTGATATGCTTCTATGGAGAGCAACAAGACACTGTTACTCCTGCTGAGAAACTATTTTCTCTCTCAAAGTCCAGCTCCCATTGTGAAGTCCGGAGGACCATACACCAGGAACGGTCTGAGGCTCGCAGGCCGCGCACCTGGACCCCTTTCGGGCTGTGCGGGCGGCAGTCAGGGAACCGTGGTGGCCACGCCAACGCCTCAACATGTTTTAATGCTGGAAAACCCAAACGCCTTCGTATTTACAATCCAGCCACCCCGTTCACCTGCTATCAACCTTCTCGTACGACCCACACCAGGGAGTTAGCCCGTCACTGCATCGCTCACTCCAACGCCATCGGTCCCGGTCCGGTCCGGGACGGGCTGGGTGGGCTCCGGGTGCCCCCACACCCACCCTCGCCCAGCAGTTCCCGGCGGGCAGGGAACTGGTCTCCAAATTACTCAGCATCTTCCTCAGCTCCCAGCTCGGCGGGGCCCACAGCAGGTGCTCAAGGTGCAGCCCCATCACCCGGAAGCCGTGAGTTGAAGGACTAAGTTAGAAAGCGAATCTTTCTCTAGTGCGCTGGGGGCTGGGGGCGGGGGGCGGGGGGTC